CCGCCCATTGCTGGAAGCTGCTGCCTCCTCCCCGCCACCGCCGCCTCGCTATCGTTCCCCTGCCGCCCCGCCCACTACCAGCCGCCGACCATCCTGGTCACAACCTTCTTACAATTTACATAGCATCCACTTTACTTCAAATAAAACAAAAAAAAGTAAGGTTATGCATTCTTTTTTTGCTCATCCAAACAACTCCAAAGTATTCTTTTTACGCCGCATTCTGTTTGTACTGCATTCTTTTTTTTCAGGCAACCAAATGGCCTCTTATTGAAATACGGGTAGTTTATTGAAATACGGGTAGTTTGGGTATTATAAAATTTATCCAAGCAAATTCCTTTCCCTCCACTTTTTTCTTGATTTGAAAGAGAAACAAAATAATTCATATAAAGGAATTTTTTTTGGTTTCTTTCATTTCTTTTCTTCTCATTCAAAACTACTGTACTAATGTGTTTACTCTATAATTATTTTCATTTCTCTTTGAATTGAAAATCCCACTCATAGTGTTTATATCAACTATTAAAAAGGAGGAAGAGGCGTATGCACTAAGGTGCGACTTAAGTTACGCCTCGCCTCGCTTAGAAAAAACGCCTCGATTCTCAATTTCGCCTTTTAAAACCTTGGTTTATATGGAATTCATGCATAGTATTGCATATTTGCTTCACCAGATATTGTTCATTTTTTTTACCAATATGATTGAAGGTGCAATAAAATCTTGTTTATGTTTTTATTCTTGGGTTGTTTTCAAACTGTTGATATCCTCTTTTTGCTGAATTTTGTTCTGAATTCATCTAGATGGCGTCCTGTTAGGCTGTTATTTATGTCTTTTATTAGCTTTGTGATTTTGACTATTATCTTTTATATTGGAAAATTTTTAGTATTACATTTTTCATGTGGTTTTTTGTAATTGATCGATGCTAAATTTAGTGTTCTACATTATGTTCTGAAAAACAGGAATGCTGCTTTTATAATCTTTTGGGCAAGCAAATATGATGGTAATTGTTTGCTCTGCAGGATCAAATCAGGGTGGGAATAATTTAACTCTGAAAGGATGGCCTCTCACTGTAAGTTTTTCATTGGATAAAAACTTGTACATCACGTCAACCATGCAAGCGCCATCAATAATAAAGGACAAAACTACTTACGTAGACATCTCTGAATTAGTGAATTGTGTGCATTGTTGCTGTTGACACGACCATAGTTTATAACTTTATCTCTCTTAAATTTCTAAATGTTTTAGTAGATTTTACATAAGAAATTAGTTCCATTTGTAAGAATTTATACATTTAAATTTTTATGACGCTTTATAATTTACATCCATATGTATTCAATTCAAGTAGTATAACTAATTCCGGACTTAAAGAAACTTTCCTTTTAGATTTACCAATTCCAATATTTGTTCATGAAATGCATCCACAATCTCTAGGCATTCTGAAAAGCCAATTGCCATTGAGTGTACATTATAAGGTATTTGATGTGCCTCTAATGTTTTGATTACTTTAATCTGTCTCATAAGTCATAACCCTTCTTATAGGGGTATAAATTTGCTTGCTTCAGGACAAACTTTACAATTAGTGAAAGATTCACCTGCCATATTTGTGCTTGCCTCACCATAATTTTTTTTCTGATAAACTCCACATACCTTGTATCTGCTGTGAATTCAGGGTCTTGATCAACTTCGATCTGGTATCTTTCAGCAGAAGTCATTTATGCAATCTCCCCAAACATATCATCAGCTTCAGTTTCTAAGTCCACAGCAACAGCAGCTCTTGCTTCAAGCACAGCCAAATCTTACATCAACATCGGCTGCTGACATTGATAGCAAAAGACTAAGGATGTTAATTAGTAACAGGAATATTGGGCTTGGGAAGGATAGTCTGGAGAACTCTATTACTGATGCAATGCCAAATGTGGGATCACAAATACTAACTGGAGGTCCTGTTTTGCCACGTGCAGACACGGAGATGTTGATTAAGGTGTGTTGCCTCAGTGGCTTGCTGATTAAATAATTTAGCAGCATTCATGGGATATTTATTTACGTTCAACTAGAACTGCCTTTAAACTAACATTTAAGTTGCTTTCTCTATTTTATGTATCTTTTATGGTTAGCTGAAGTAGGATCTTAACTTTCCATCTGTATCTGATGCAACGATGGTTAGCATAAGGCTTTTCATTCCATTTGAAAGGGGTTCTGGTTTGATATCAGGTGTCACATTTTTTTAAATGGAAATACTAAACAGAACAATTTGTAAAGTGAATGGATTAGCAAATCAACATAACTTTACTGGACTTTATAACTGAAGTATCTTATAGTTTTATGTTAGTAATTCAATGTATATACTTTGATCGTGTGCCATCAACCTTACTATTGGATTTTGTGTAGTAGAAGATAGCTCAGCTACAACAGCAACAGCAGCAGCAGCAGCAGCAAGGAGGTGGCCAACAGAACCAGCAATTGCAGCAGCTTGCAATGTCAAATCAGCAATCACTTGTTTCAAATTCACATCTTAACCAACCAGAGAAAATGATCACTGGGACAACAGATGGAAGCATGTCAAATTCCTTCCGAGGAAATGATCCGGTACTTATTTTTGTATGATTATGGGCTTAAGAATTATTTAATGATATCTGTAAATATCATGTTATCAAATTCTGATAATGGAGTAAGTATTTTGTTTATAACTGCAATTTCTGTGAAATATTTTGTGCGTGTCTATGATATGTCAGGCAACAAATAACCCCATGATGTTTAGCTATATTATTATTCTTGATGGCATGTTTGGAACATAGTCCATAGGTTATGCTATCATTTTTATTTTATCCTGGAGTTCTTCTCTTTTGATAAAACATTTGCTCTGGTTTTCTTACCTGATGTGCTAAAAATTCTGAGAAAATTTTACCAACTCAATAGGCATTCTCATGCTCATGCCGATGTCTTGTTATTATGCACTTATATATTTATTATAGTAATTACCATTTTATCTTATTTAGAAAACATTGCACATATTTATTTGGCCTGTAACATACTGCAAATTTTGAGCAAGTAAACATGTTTTTTTTTTCTATTTCAAATGCGTTCACTAATCTATTCTTTGAATATGGTAAGGAGCGCATGCTTCCAATTGCTAGAATTTTATATGTTTTTTCTTGTGTTGCAAGACAATTTAGGTTTTAGCTTACCGATCGAATTATTATGATGCAATGTATGTAGATCACATAAAGAAAATTAGTATTCATAGATCAAAGATCGATAAATGCACAAAATAATTCACTTTTTTTAGATGCAAAGTACCCTACAATATGAATATTAGAACCCAAATGATAATAGCACCACTGAATAATTTTGAAGAAACCAGTTGAACTAAATAAAATCAATAAGCAATTGAATTTCTTTCATTGCAATCAAAATTTCAGAGCTGTCTAAGTTAAAGAAATTAAGAATTATAGCAATGCCAATAAATAAGAATTTATTTAATGGGTTGTTTGGTTGCAAGCATATGTTTTGTAGAGTAAATCCTAAGTAGTGATTTGAAAATTTTAGCTGTTTGGTTGGAAGAAACGTAAATATAGAGTGATTTTTTTAAGGAATTTGTAACTCCTTGTTACTTTATTTTCACTGCATTTGAAATTTGCCCGATTTTGGCGAATTCTGAACACTTTGCTTTGTGAGAATGATTGTTGCGACGCAGGGTAAGCTCTCCGCTGATTGTTGCAATGCAGGGTAAGCATAGGTTGTGTAGAGTAAATCAAACATAGTGATTTTAAAAGTTTAGGTGCTTGGTTGGAAGAAACTTAAATATAGAGTGATGTTTTTAGGAAATTTTAATTCCTTGTTAGTTTATTTTCCCTGCATTTAAAAGTTGCCCTATTTTGGCGAATTCTGGACACTTTGTTTTGTGAGAATGATTGTTGCGATGCAGGGTAAACTCTCTGTGAGGCTTCACGCCCGTACCAACCACCACAACGCCTCTCTTTACAATTTCCTCTCATCATTACTTCCCATCTCGACTTCCACATCCTCAACTTCTTCTCGCTACGACATTATTTGTTTGTGACCACACTGAATGCGAGTTCATCCCATTGTGAGTTCCTGCTCAAGTAAGAAGCCATCACATTTTTCTCTTCTTTCTCCTTGTCGCCCCGCTCGCGATTTTCTCCTGTCGTGATGTCCATCTTGATTTCCTCCTTAGCGATCTCTTGTTGTGATTTCTCCCATCTTGACTTCCTCCCATCTCAATGTCCTCCCTAGGGAGCTGTTTTCATGATTTCCTCTTGCCACGACTTCCTTTGTCCCACGATGTTGATCCCAGCATTGGCTATCCACTAGCATTCCTTATGTCCCTTTTTTAAAAAAAATTTAGCATCAATTTTTATTAGTTCCAACCAAATACAAAAAAAATGATCTCCCAAATTCTAAATACAGTAAGTATCCTTTGCAAGGAAATTAAAAAACTTTTGGGTTTTAAATATTTGCAACAAAAAAACCTTCTAAAAATAAAGGGAAGTTCACTGAAGTAAAGAAAATCTAAGCCTTATATGCTGATATGAGGAGATGACCTCCTTCATAATTAGATGGCCACACTTGTATCCCACTTGAATAAATCACACATCCAACTTGTCTATATCATTCAAATTGGGATCACTAGTTTTATTGAAATAAAAGTTGCTTTTACGCGCCTTAGTTGTTAGTATTTATAAATTGAAATATGCTAATTAACTACCAAATCATTAAACTAACTAAGCTCAAAGCATTTATTTATTTGCTCAACATTTTTATCTGTTGTGAAATTGTTGATCTTTATCAAATTTGTTTGATTTGGGCATTCAACTTCGATGAATTTTTGATCACCAACTAAATCAGGGCTAAAATATTTTGTTTATGCAATTTAATCTATAAATCATCACAAATATGCAATTTACATAAGTGCACTAGATATCTCTAGAATACATCACTAATAGTGGATATTATCTCATCATTTAAGATAGTTGTATGAATCAACCATATAGTTTTTTTGGTCGAGTGTTGTATGCAGAGTCATAATGAGTAGATGGAAAGAGATTAATCCATGAATTTGGTAGGAGTTCATGAATTAAGGAGAAATTTGATGCATTGAACATTGGATTAAGACTTGAATTTTTTAATTTAGTTTATGCGCTATAAGATTTAAATGGCTATACTTCTTTTGCAAGCAATTTCTTGAAGTTTCTTGAACAGAGCTTTTATAAAGTTAAATTCACTATTACTTTATAACCAAGTTTAAACCATGGTTTAAAATTGCGCAATATGAGGCTCTCCTTGAGGCCCGCCTTTGCGCAATTCTAGTAAAAAACGCCTCGATGCTTACGCCTCGAATTTTTTTATGAGGCTTGCGCCTCAACTTGGTTGAGGCCCGCATTGAGGCCCGCCTCGCCTCACTGGCATGAGGCCTACGCCTCACACTATATATATTAAAACTTACATAAATCTTGAAGTAAATGCCCGACATTGGACTCTATAGGAGAGGAGGAAGGGGAGAGAGTAATTCACCATAATGATGATTCAAATGAAGAAGCCCTTAATGATGACAATGCTGATGACTTATGAGTTCTTATGTGATATGTCATTGCTATTTGTTTTTGAAAATCGGAATTATATGTTAATGAAAAGAATACTGAAATTTCGGAAATATAGAATTTTGAGTTGAACTATATTTCATGTTGTCTTATTATTGAGATATTTTGATTTCACTTCATATCTTATGCTTTTTTATGTTTTATATTATTCACTCATTAGTATATAACAAATTTATCATTTTATGTTTACACAATCTTTTGATTTTGAGGCTTACGCCT